CTGTGAACCAAAGGGTTGCCAGGTCAATTCCCAGTCAGGGCACATGCCTGGATTGTGGACCAGGTCCCCAGTAGGAGGCGTGTGAGAGGCAACCACACATTGATGTTTCTCTACCTCTCTTTCTCCTTCCCTTCATTTCTCTCTAAAAATTAAATAAATAATTGATTTTTTTTTAAAAGAAAGCAAAATCTACAAGGAACCATCAGTGGAGGGGAGGAAGCCAGATTCAAATCAACAATTTGGAGCATAAAGAAAAAATAAGCATCCAACCAGAACAGCAAGGAGAAAAAAATTTTTTTAAATGAACATATATAAGGCCCCTTGGGATATCTCCAAATGTACCAACATCCAAATCATAGGGATGCCAGAAGGAGAAGAGGAAGAATAAGAAATGAAAAATTTATTTGAAAAAATAAGGAAAGAAAACTTCCCTAATTTGGCGAAGGAAATATACGAAGAAGTCCGGGAAGCTCAGAGAGTCCCAAACAAGTTGGACTCAAAGAGGACCACACCAAGACACATCATGATTAAAATAAAAGAGAGAATCTTAAAAGCAGCGAGAGAAAAGGAGAGAGTTGCTCCCCAAGGAGTGCCTATCATGCTATCAGCTGATTTCTCAAAAGAAACTTTGCAGGCAAGAAGGGACTGGCAAGAAGTAGTCAAAGTGATGAAAAGCCCAGATTGACCTACAACCTAGATTACTCTATCCAGCAAAGCTGTCATTTAGAATGGAAGGACAGATAAAGTGCTTGCCAGACAAGGTAAAAAGCTAAAGGAGTTCATCATCACCAAGTCATTAATACATGAAATGTTAAAGGGACTTATTTAAGAAAAAGAAGATCAAAACTATGAACATTAAAATGACAACAAATTTGCAGCTATCAACAACTGAATAAAAACAAACAAATAAACAAAGCAAACAACCAGAACAGGAACAGAATCGTAGATATAGAGATCATTTGGAGGGTTATCAGCTGGGATGGTGAAGAGGGAGAATGGGGGAAATGGTGCAGGGATTAAGAAGCATAATTGGTAGGTACAAAATAGACAGAGGGAGGCTAAGAATAGCATAGGAAATGGAGAAGCCAAAGTACTTATATGCACAACCCATGGACATGGACTAAGGGGTGGATTGTTGGAGGGAAGGGGTGTATTGGATGGAGAGAGGTAAAGGGAGGGAAACTGGGTCAACTGTAATAGCATCATCAATAAAATATATATTTTTTAAAAGCATACATTCATATAAAGACTTGTACTATAGCAGCTTTATTTGTAATAGCCAAAACTGGGAATAATACAAAATCCATTAGTGAATGGATAAGTGAAGAGTGTGTTTCTTCAACCTGGAATGCACAAGTGATGGTATATCCATACAACAGAATACTACTCAAAAATGAAGAGAATAACTATTGGGCATGCTACAACATAGATAAATCTCCTAATAGTTATCCTGAGTGAAAAGAGCCAGACAGACAAAAAGAGTACATATGTATGATTCCATTTCTATAACATTCTATAAAAGTACAAAGGAATCTCTACCGACAACATCAATCTATGGTTGCATGTGCATGGTAGTGAGGATGGGGAGAGTGAGAGCAAGGCTCACAAAGTCTAGAAGGACACCAGAGAGCAATGGATGTATTCATTCTCTTAACTGTGATAGTTGCATGGGTCTATACATGTGTCAGAACTTACGAAAGTATACATTTTAAATATGTGCAGCCTGTTGTCAATTATACTTCAATAAAGCTGTTGTAAAAAACTCATTGAACTGTATGGAAATTGTATCTCAATTAGAACATTTTTTTAAAGGACTCAGAGGTATCACTTCTGCCTTGACTTTGGTGGCCCTCACCATCCCAGTGGCAGCCACCAAGCAGTGCTGCTTGGGGCCGGTCCCTTCTCTCTCTGGGAAGCCGTTTAATGTCTGTAGTTCATGAGTCCGAGGAGGAACAGAGCCTCAGGCAAACAACAGTGGCAGAGGGTTAGATCAGACAGGATTTCCAGTCCAAACCCTGGGGGAATGCTGAGCCACTTTAAATTCCATCCACCTATCCTTGTGTGTTTGTACAGCAAGAGCCTGTTGTACTTAATGTACTGATCTGGGAGCTTGGGCCAGGGTGCTGGGAGAGGGCAAATATTGATGCTGGCTGCCTGGGTTCTCCCTGAAGGCTGTGGCATTAAATCCCCTGCTCTGCTGACGAGAGCCATGGGAGGCCCTGGCTGGCCCCAAGGGGTGTGTGCGTGCCTTTCTGGACCCGGCTTATGAAGTGCTGTTTGGGAGGCTGCTAGGGCATCTGCTTCTTTCCAAAAGGAAGAACCAATAACTAAGAAAAGAACAAATGCTGGTCTGGAGCCACCAATCACCTCCTGTTTTTTCAGGCTGCCACCCCCTGGCCTGGGCCCCAGCTTCTCTTCTAGGGAGTCCTGGCCCAGAAAGGGGGAGATATTAAGGAGGCATACGGATTTGGGCCTGTCGAGGTTTGATCCTGGTTAAGTCCTCTAAAAGTTGTGCGATCTTAAGCGAGCAGCTTAACCACACCAGGTTCCTGGCAAAGGTTGTGAGGACTGGAGACAATGAGGTACAAGAGATAAGGCACACAAAAGTTTGCTCTGGTGTTTGGCATGTACTAACTGCTCACCAAATTTTGGCTCTTGATATTTATTAATCCCTTAACACAGCACCTGGCACTCCCCTTTCTTCTGCTTCAAGCTTGTTTCCAAGTGGTGTTCACATTCCAGCTCTCACTTTTTCCTCTTCATAAGCCTGCAAGATAGTCTGGCCATGACCTTCTTATTCCTAACGTGCAGAAGAGGGATCCTTTTTTGCAGCCCCTCCGCAGAAGGAGGAATGCAGTGTCTCCTCTGCCAGCTCCCTGCAGCCTCGAGTCAAGTTCACTCCCTGCAGCCCAGAATCTGAGGCTCATCCTCACACTCTAGCCATGGGAGGCTGCTTCACACGGCTCAGCCGGGACCGCCCTGTCCTGCTCCCCACCTGGCTCCATCATGGCTCTGCTCAGGCATCATAAATCCTAGAAGCTTCCAGACCTCATGAGACATAGCATAAAACAGCAACTACGCTGGCCAAGTGCCCAGACGCCTGGCTCTATGCCCCACAGTCAGATGCCCTGCCACGAGCTGCCTGGGCTGTCCAAGCTTCGTGGAAAAACAGCGTCTCCCTCAGAGTGTTGTGGCGAGAATGAGACGTGAAGCTCTCAGCACAGCGCCTCGCTCGCAGCAAGTGCTAATGTATGTGCCTGGACACCTGGCTTTCACATTCGTAACAAGTTAGATCTTGAGAGTATCGTGCTAAGCAAATTAACTGGGATGGAGAGGACAAAACCATGTGATTTCACTCAGGGAGGATATAAAACAAACAAACTCATACTCACAGACAACAGTATGGTGGCTACCAGAGGGGAAGAGGGATGGGGGAGGATTAAGAGGGTAAAGGGGGTCAAACATTTGGTGATGAACAAGGCTAGACTGTGGCACACAGGGCAATGTACAGATGCTGTATGACAGAACCGTGCACCTGAAACTTAGGCACCATTACTAACCCATGCCACCCCAACACATTTCATTATATGTTAAAAAGAAAAGAAACCTGGCTTGTAGCCCGTGTGCTGCTACTGACATGCTGAGTGGACCCGGATGAGTAGGTCTCAGCCTTGGCTTCTCCATCCTGTAAAATGACGCTCTGTACCCCAAGGGGCCCATGCATGGGCTTGGTTGGGAGGGAAGGCTAAAATGATGCGCAATGGTGATGCTGGTGCCTCTGGGAGTTTTTGGAGAAGAGCCACAGGCCACTGAAGGAGCCTGGGACTGGCTGACCACGAAGGCCCACTCACTTCTCTCCCTTGAGGCCCAACCACAGCACCGCCACTCCCTGCCGGGAAGTGGGTGCTCGCCCTGCTGCAGAGTACCCTAACCTAGCCCTAACACTAACCCTAAATTTTACCCTGACCTTAACCCTAGGCCTAACCCTAACCCTAACCCAGGGCAGAATCCCTGAGGTGACCCATTCTAGGAGCTGGTCCTCGGTTCATCAGGGTCAGGTCCGTGATCATGTCCTGGCTCCCAGAGGCCCCTCTTCAGTACCCTCAGCCTAGTGTTTCCTGCTGTCCCCCAATCCTTCTGTAGGAGGAGCTGCCTTCTCCATGATATCTCACCCTCCTGTCACGCTGGGACTCAGGTCTCTTCCTTCCCTGGTGGCTGGCACCCAGCTTGGCCCAGAGCAGGTGTGTAAAGACTCTTCATCAAGCGATGAGTGAACCAGAGCTCACCTGTCTCCCAGATGGCCATTTTCAGTCCATAACTCACACAAGGCTGGTACACAAAATGGATTTCATTAGTTTGCAGTGGGGATAGGTCTGTCCCCCTCAGTAGGAACCTTCTTGCTGGCCAGATTCCAAGTCTCACTTTGTGACCACAAAGCTAATTTTAAAAATACCCCACAGGGACTCTGTGTGCCTCGCTTCCCCCCGCAAGCCAAGACACAATCATATTGGTAGCGGGTAAGGTTTTAGGGTTGGGACCCCACAGAATATGTTTGATCCTAGTTTCAGCACTGACTTTGCTGTATGATCCTCAGCGAGTCATTTCTCCCTCCAGGCCTCAGCTCCCTCATCTCCTTACTGGGAGCAACGATCCTTGTGTGTCTAGGGGCTGGAAAGCTGGAAAGGTATGGAGAGAAATGACTCATTCACTCAGGCTCTGGGGTCAAAATACAACCCCTACTACAAGAAACCTGGGTGGATTGTTGGGCACTGGGCACAGGGTGGAGAGCGGGACGGACGGAAGAGCTGCTCTTTCTCCAGACCTTCTACTCTACAGCTCAGAGCCGCCTGGAGGGCTTCCCCCGGCAGGTGAGACGTCCCGTGGTCAGCCAACAGGACCTGATTACTGAGACGAGAAAGATGCTGAAGCTATAGGTAAACCCAGCAATATCCGCCTTAGGTACAAAGACGCAGGAAGCAGTATACGCGCCACACAAGGGCTAAATTCCTCGGCTGAATGTTTGAACTCCAGACTTGTCGTCTTTCCAAGGGGTAACGAGGTCAAAATCTGTGAGTCTGTCTTAGAGCAGAGGAGCAAATTTCCTCTGTGTGGCCCCTGAAGCAAGCCTAAAATCGTGGGAGCAGTTTCCCCTCATCTTTGGTAATGAGCTCCCTGTCACTGGAGGGATTCAAGGAGAGGCTGAACATTTTGAAAGCAGGAGGGGCAAGTCTTTTTCGGAGACCACAGTGTCTAGATTTCACTAGATGAACTTTAGGCTCCTTCCTGCCCTCGTGTTCTTCGATCGGATGCTCATTCGGAGGCTCATCGGTGTCACTCAGCCAGCCTCCTGCTCTGGCCTGGGCGCCCAGCTAGGGGCCCGGGCAGGAGTCCTCATCAGACCAGTCAAAGCAGTGCTGCACGCCGTCCCGGCAGAGGCTCCTTGGGACACAGCCGCAGTACTTGAAGAGGGTCGAGGGGCAGCGCCACCACCCGGGGCCGCAGGGTGGGCAGGCAGTCACTGGAGGAACAAGAGACGGCAGAAGAGCAGCTGTGGTGCCCTGGAATGTCCAGGGCACTCCCCAACTCTGACTCCTGCCATGGCTCCCCAGACCCCGTCCCATCTGGCATGGGTTGACTGTTGTCCTTGTTTCCCTGTGGGAGAGAGAGTCTAAATCCCGATTTACAGCTGTGTGACCTCGGGCAAGTCTCTTACCTTGTCTGAGCCTCAGTTTCTTCATCTGCTCAAGGTTGTTATTAAGGAATAGTGCCAGGCACATGGTCAGTGTTCAAATATTGATGGTCAGCGCACACTGTCTACCCCAGCCCATCCTCCCCGCTCACCCTGACTCAGCCACACCAGCCCACTTAAAACTCCCTCGGCGTGCCTCATAGACTTCCCCCCTTTGCCCTGAACCCTAGGCCTCCAGCACTCTTCCCTGCATGTCCAGCCTCTGCCTGTTAAAACCCTGTCCAGCCCTGGGTGGAATGGCTCAGTGGACCGGGTGCCAGTTGGAGAACCAAGGTGTCCCTGTGTTGATTCCCAGTCAGGGCACATGTCTGGGTTGTGGGCTGGGTCCCCAGTAGGGGGCGCATGAGAGGCAACCACACACTGATGTTTCACTATCTCTTTTTCTCCCTCCCTTCCTGTCTCTAAAAGTAAATATGTAAAATTTAAAAAGAAATAAATTTTAAAAAATCTTTAAAACAAAATAAAATGAAATCCTGTCCATTCTCTAAGGTCTGCTTGAACACTGCCTCCCTTGATGCTTACATGCTCCCTTCCCTTAAAAAGCCTCCCCAGGTCCTCGTCACTTCCTTTTGGCAGCAGCAGGATGGGAGTCCAGTGGGCAGGACTCACGTTTGACTCCTGACCATCCTCCCGCAGGGCCTGGCACAGGCCCAGCCCCAGGCAGCGCTCAGGCCATGTCTGCGGGTTGAACACCGGGACAGTGAAAAGAGGCCCGACTTGGAGTCGGGAGACCGGGAGTCAGGGAGGCCGTCCCAACTTCCCTTCCTGTCATTCGCTGTATTAAGTTCCTTCTCCTCTCTGGTCTGTTTGCTTACATACAAAGTAGGGTCAGTGGTTCCTGCCCTGTTTTACTCACAGGGTTGTTGGGAGGTGAAGAGGGGGTTAGGGAAGCCCGGATTCAAAGCCCAGTTGGGCCACATACATAGTTCTTGCCCAATTACCTTCTGAGCCCCAGTTTCCTTATCTGTTAAGTTCCCCACCACAGAAGAATAAAGCTCCAGTGGGAGTCATTTGGTATAGTAGTGAGCAACCTGACACTGGAGGCATCCAAGAAGGGGGTGGAAACTTCTTTCTAGGAGGCAAGCAGAGGATGCAAGGGGAACCTCGGAGATTCCCTGGTCAACCTCTGCTCTCTAGTCGCTACCCAGCCACCTGCTCAGCCCAGCCCAGCCCAGCCCATGCTCAGACCCGTACCTGGGATCAGTTCATCCGAGCAGTCCCCACAGTGGTTGGTTCCATCACACCTCTGGTCTGAGTAGATCCAGGAGGCTGGGTCTCCGCATCGGGCCACAAGGAACTGGGGAAGACTCTGGGGCACATCTCCTACAGAGGAAGATGGGGCAGGAGGAAACCCGCATCTGCCACAGCTGGCTCAGGGATATCTGGAGGCGGATGGTCCTGGTCACCTTGGCTGTTGCCGAACTCAGTGTCACTGCGCACCCACCCTAGGAAGGGCCCAAGGAGAAGGTTTCCCAGGGAGGAGGTCAAGTCAAAGGAGAAATGCATTCTTCCAGCAAGACGCCCAGAGCCCTGCCTCTCCCTTCCTCATTCCCTGCACAGCTCTCATGCATCCCCACCCCACACCACCGCCTGCACTGTCCTCCCTCCAGGAATGTGCTCCTTGACACCTATCCTAAACCATTCCAGTCAAGTCCAGGTTCAAGTTCCTTCATCTCCACGACGTCTTCTCCAACTGGAACATAACAAGAATAAATGTGAAGTCTTGCACTTGGGTCCCAGAACTCAGAGGGTGTGAGTTCACATACCGTGTGAGAGGGAGTTACAGCACTTTACCTGAAAGTGTGTTCTGTTTTAGGCAGCAGTGTGGCAAGGCTACCAAAAACTAACACAAACTCAGGCCACGTCACTAGAGGTATAACCCAGACGTGGGAGGGGGGAAAGCCTTTGTTCCTTGGACTAGCCAGAGCCGGTCAGAAGTGTCATGAATGTTCTGGAGCCTGTCCAGGAAGACGGACATGATGCGTGTTCTGTGGAATGCTGGTGGAATGGGGAAGATCCATCATAAGGGGAAGGACTGGGAGTTCAGAGTGTGGCCCAGGGAAGGGGACACCTACGTGGGGCAAAAGAGCAGTGGCTCCAAATTCATGCAGTGCCACCGTCATGGAGACAGATTAAGATCCAGTTTGTGGTGGGCAGGGGTTGATGAGAGGGCAGAGCTGGAAGCCGTCAAGGGTGCCAGTGGGAGACATTCCCATGGAAAAACCATGCAATGATGGGAGCAGCTGCCTCAAATGGTAGTGAGCTCCCCGTCCCAGGACTATGCAAGCTGAAGCTTGGGGGCCTCTGCTGGGTTTGTTGTCAGGGGAATTTGGGCATGAACTGGGACATAGCTAGATAACTTTTAAGTTCTCTTTTTTGTCTTGAGGATTTATGATGCAATGACTCTCCCCTCATTGGCTCCCCTTCTCCACCCACTCCAACTTACCAAGCTCTCTCCCTCCTCCAGGCAAAGGGCCTGGCTCCTTTCTCCTGAGAATCATCAGGTCTTTAAGGTCTGGGACAAGATCCTCCCATTCATTCATTCATTTACTCACTCATTCCATCATTCATTCAGCAAATCATTCCGAATACCCTGTGTGCCAGGCACGGGGACCCAAAGTCAAGCAGACCAGGCCTGACCTGAGGAGCTTACAGCCTGATGGTCATGTCAAATATGCCAGTTGAGGGTGACAAGGTGACTAGGGCTGGGACACTGGGAAGCACAGGGGATGTGGGAGCCCAGAGGAGGAAGTTTAACCTTGTTTGAGAGTCAGGGAAGGCTTCCTGGTGGAGGTAACCCTTGAACTCTGCCATGAAGTTTGAATACAGATTCTCTGGGATGAAGATGTACACAGTGAAGCCATTCCTTAACATGGGCATCCACATATGTGTGTTGGGGGAGAGGTGCTCCTGGCTGAGGGTACCATATAAGCAAAGGCCTGAGGACACAAAGGTACCTGGTAATTTCAGGGATGATTGAACTTCATTTTTGCTGCAGGGATAGTGAGAGTTGGAGGGGCAACCCCAGAGGGCCCTGGAAGGCCCATTCGGGTCAGGGGCAGGGGCCAGACTGGGCAGTACTCACGGCACAAGGTCTCGTCCTCGTCCTCGCCGTGGGGACAGGTGCGGACGCCATCACAGACACTGCTGGCCGAGATGCAGCTCCTCCGGTCATGGCACAGGAAGCCTGTCCTGTTTGTCAGTGTCACACAGGCCTGGGCCACTGAGTGGGTAGAGGTGGCCCCGGAAGGTCAAGGATGATGCTCACAAGGGCATCACAAAGTTCCCACACCTGAGACACCACCCTCACTGAGCTGGCCTGAAGGGCGGGGGCAGCGAGGAGGATACTGGGCTCGGCACCGGAGGCCTAAGTCCCAGCTCTACCATTTGCCGGCTGAGTGACCTTGGGCAAATGACTGGACCTCTCTGAGCGTCAGGTTTCTTGTCTGCAAAACAGGGACCATATCAGACACCCAGAAGACTGCTGGGAGACTTCCATAACCCCAGAACACGGAGTGCGCCGAGTAGGTCATGGTTCCCTCCTTCACTGAGAGCCGTGGACAGGCTCGCAGGTGGCTCTGAGGATGGGGCTCCAGCAGCAAAGCGACTTTCATGGCGGAGCCCCCGGCACCAGGCCAGCTAACCAGAGACAATCCGCTGGGCCTGGCCTGGGGCTGTCAGGTCATCGCTCCGTAGGAGTGCACCTGGCCACACCTTCACAGTCTACAAAGCAAAGCACTGGCACGGCTTTGCTCTACCGTTTTCCTACTCCCTCTGGAAGCACCACCATTAGCCCCATTTCACACATGAGAAAAGGAAGACTCAAGAAGTGTGATGGGCCCCGGCACAGCTCACAACCCAGGCCTGCTGACCCAGAGCTTTCCCGAGGCTGGGGCTGCCTCCCCAGTGTCCAGGAATACTGGGCGGCATCTGAACACCTCTGCCCTTCTGACAGTCCTCCCGCAGCCCCAGGAGCTGCTACAAAGAAGTGAAGGAGAGAAACTGTCAGATGAGCCGGGAGGTCACCCCAGCCCCACAGGCCACAAATGGAAGAGTGGTTTGTGCATGTGTGCCTGGGCACAGGGGACCCAGGTCCCCGCTCACATGAGGGGGACCTACTCTCAGAAACCCTCACATTGTCACACGCACACACCAATGCACATGCACACACAGACACACGCACACATAAGCACACAGACATGTACACGCACATGCAGACATGCACCACACAGATGGACACAGAGGCACATGTGTGCACACACAGGCACAGGAATCCAGCTCCTCAAGGATGCACGCCTGTCCCAGGCGCCCGTGCCTCTGCACAGGCATGCAGAGCTGCGGGTTTACCCCTCCCTCACCTTGTCCCTCACACACCCAGCCCGGCTACAGAGCCCTGCGTCAGAAAGGGAGATGTAGCGACACCTGCACCCAGCGAGCTCAGCCCCGCCCATCACACTCTAGACAGAGACTTCCCTCCCCAGTGCAGCCTTTGAGGCCCTAGGCCCCTGGCCCTGCCCACGGATCTAGCCCCGTGACCACTGGCCCTTGTGCAGTCTCCCTCCCTTTTCCTCATGTTTCCTCCCACCCTAGGGACGCCAGGCCTGAGTTCCCTGAGCCTGGGATGCTTTCCCTGCCACCCCTTCCTCTAACCAATTCCCACTTCCCCTTCTGGCCTCAGCTCCCTTTCACTTTCCAGGTGCCCCGTCTGACTCCTGGACTGGGTCAGAGGCCCTATTCCGGATTCTCAGCGTCCCATTAACCTTGCCTCAGTGTGATTATTTAGCTAACATTTATGTCACTCTCCAAACCATTAGCTCTGTGAGGGCAGGGGCCATGTTGGGACTGTAACTGGGCCCCCGGGAAAGGGTCAGACACACTCTTACCCTGTCTGATGGAGACAGACACACAAATGGATGGCGCCACCCAGGACACAGGCCAGGGGAAGAGGCAGGCTAACCCAGCCTGGAGGTCAGGGCAGGCTTCCTGGAGGAGGTGGGTCATCAGAGCTGGGACCTCTCAATAGTTCATATTACAGGTATGTAAATGGAGACTCCGAGACATGGAGACATGTTAATGTCAGTTTGTGTGCCTGAGTCTGTGCACACATGCTAAGAAGTTATCCAAAAGTCACTTCACGGAGAAACCAGGCAGGGCCAGGGTTCCCCCACGTCTCTGCACCCCATCCCCTCCCAGCAAGTCGGACCCGCCCTCTCTTGACCACCCTGACCTGGTGTACGTGGTGGGGATCCAAAGATGGTAACCAAGGCAATCAGGGCTGCAAGAGTTGCCAGCAGGAGCAGCAGGAAGGCCGAGAGGCAGGCGCCTGGGCGAGAGCAGCAGAGGGGCGTGGCGCCCGCTGTGGGGGCGGGAAACCAGTGGTGCAGCAGCCAGTGCCAGGGCTCAGGGATCCCCTCCTCTGACCCTTCCCGTAAGTGGCCTGTCCCCGCCTGGGTGTCCGGGGGCACAAAGAGGTTCCCTGGAGAAGGGGCCATGATGCTCTCAGTTCTGCCTGTGGGCCCAGCCCCACTGAGCGCCAGTCCCTGGCCCTGGTTCCATAGCTAGTGGGCGGCAGTTGGCATACAGAGGGTCCCAGGCCTCTGCTCCACCGGCCTTGTACTCCATCCTTCCGCAAACACTGCTGCCTCCTCAGGAGGCAGTCAGAAATGGACACCTGCTTTCTGGGCCCTGATCATGGGGCAGAAACGATAGCAGGCCCTTCTATATAGCCATTGTTCTCATTTTCCAAAGCAACATTTTATAGATGAGGACACCGAGGCTCAGAGAAGGCAAAGTTCAGGTCGCCTCGTGTGGAGCTGAGATGCGAGTTCACAGCTATTTGCTGCCAAGCCAGAGCCCTTTCCATGTGCCAAGTGATTGTTCACTCCGCAGCCTGCCAGGATGCTGGCTGGATGCCCAGCTGCCCTGCTCCCCAGCCCGGCCCCACTGAGACATCACTTCTCTGCTTGATTCCTTATGTGGAAAATGGAGGTCATCACACCTACCACAGGGCTGCCGAGAGGATTAAGCTAGTGAATATATTAAAACAGTGCTTGGTGTAGGAAGTGCTATAAAGGTTTTAGCTATTGTTAGTGTTTACTGAGCACCTACTACGTGCCAAAGCTGTACCCTAAGCAATTGTGGAAATTACTGTAATAGGAAACATCTTGCTCCTTTAACTTGCTTTGCTCCTTTCATTTTTGCTTGCTTGTGAAATAATGAAGGAAAGTGTATTGAGGACCTACTAGGTGTCCTGCTCTGTAGAGTACACAAAGGCAGTCATAGCTCAGGTCGTTGCCCTCTGAGAGTTTGCAGTGCATTTAGAAGGCAAAGCATGGGCAGGTCAGAAGGGGAGTGTGGGTACAACTGCTGTCCCCTGGACCCCAGTTATTCCAGAGAAAGAAGCAGGGTGGGTCGGGAGCATCTGTGTCCCCAGGATCCAGCCCAGGGGCAGGGGGACCGCAGTAGCTGCTGTGTGAATATTCTGATCCAGGGCTCCAGGAGACTAGGAAGGGCCCCAGTTCAGGGCAGGGCAGGCCATTTCCATCCATTCCACTCGTATTTGTGGAGCCGTCCATTTTGCTCGCCTGCTGGTAAGATCTGCCCCTGCGCAGCTCACAGAGCCAGGCAGTCAGTGTGGTTTAGGGCCTGTGAGCAAAGTGCCATGGAATTTCCACCAGCAGGGGAGGGGAGTGTGTAAGAAGAGAGCACTCCGGGTAGACAGAGTACCGGAGGAGAAAAGGCCTTGTGGGTGGTGTTGGGGGGCGGACAACGAGTGGCCTGGTGTGGCGGGAGCCTGGGGTGGGTGTGTGCTGGGAAGGAGATGATAGTAGGAGATACGGCATAAATCTAAAACCGACACCCCCTCAGGCCCTATCGGGTGGTTTCCTTGTTGTCAGCAAACACAGGGGAAGCTCCAGTATCCAGAGAGACAAGACCATGGGAATCTGGGCTAGAACGCCCGGATCGGCCACGCAGGCACTCCTCAAATATTTGCGCAGCGCAGGCCGTGGGCAAGATGGGCCACAGGAGAGACTCAGGCAGAACTGAGGCCCACGCCCAGGTGACGATCCTGCTCTCCAGAGCGGGAAGGTCCTGAGGCGCCAATCCCCACTGTGGACAGATGGGAAAAGAGGCCACTGTTCCACAACCACACCCACTAGGAGCCAGGACTCGGAAATCAACACCCCCACTGCGGGGCAACAAAGGCACCGGGGCTTTGCAACCAGATCAACTCCAGTATGAACTCAAACCCTGTCTCTCCCACCTCTCAGCTGTGAGGGATCCCAGCTTGGCCAAGCAACCCGACCCCTCTTAGCCTCAGCTGCCTCCTCTGTTACTGCCCCACAACCGGACCCCTCTCAGCGCTGGTCTACGGACTAAAAGGGGCCAGGCAGCAAGGCCCTTCACAGACACGTTGAGTGTCTGCCTTTCTGGATCTTCGGTCAGATGCAGTTGAGTCAACCAATGTGTGTTCCTTCCTTTGAACTGTTCTAGTCACACAAGTCACTGGCACACAGCAGGTGCTAAATAAGTGTGTGGTCCCACCTACTTTATCCCTCAGTAGTTAAGAGAATTGCCCAGGTCAATCACTGGGTCAAGTATTTGGCTCCAGAGATCTTTCCTTTATGGGTTTCAGGTGGACTCCGTATATGGCGCAGTACCTGTGAGGTAGGCAGTATACAACAGGTGCTCAATGAATGCTTGTGCATGAAGAGATGAGCAACCCCATCAAGCAGCTGGCTGTCAGCATGGCTGGCCAGGAAGATGAAGGTGAATGACATCAACACGGGGGTCTGAGGGACAGGGGGAACCTTAGGGTGCTCTCTTGTGCCTCTTGTGCACCGGCCCAACCTCGGGGAGCCCTACCTGGGGAGATCCTGCAGGGCACTGCCCCCTGCCCTTTGCCTTCGTCCCCAGGAAGGACGTCGGTTCCAGCAGCAGCTTTGCCATTGACCTCCGCCTGCCCGAGAGAACACAGTGAGGAGTGGGCTTAGGCGAGGTGAAGTCCGGCCTCAGGGAGCCACACCAAAGAGTTTTTCACAAAGTCACCGAGAGCCTTAGCTGGACCCACTGGCCCCGCACACAGAAAACTCGTCATGCTTCCTTCACACTCCCACACCTTTGCTTGTACTGTGCCTTCTGCCTGCAATGCCTTTGTCCCCATGGTCCCCTGTAAACATTCAGCCTTCAAACCAGCTGAGGTGGCTCCTCCTCAGAGAGGCTTTCCCTGATGCCCCTCCCATCATGTGGATGGATCCCCCCACTTGCTCTGGAGCAGTGGGGAGCTGAGCCATCTCAATATCCACCCCCTTTATTGCCCACCCCTATCCCAGGCTGGCTGCCCTGGGTCAGGAGCCGTCTCAGGCAGATCTTACCTGGGGGAAGATCTTGTTCATGTCTCCGGTCCCCAGCGCTCAGCTCTCAGCTCTGGGCACTGCGCTGGTGTGTAGAACACAGCTCGGTTCCCTGCCTGGTCACCAGGGCAGCCTGGAGGAGGGTGCCCGGGAGGCCCTGCCTGGCTGCACCCTTCCTGTGGGCAGTCCCTTCCCAGGCTGCCTGCCAGCTGCAGGAAGGGGCCGGAGGGCCGTGGTCCTGCTCAGCCTTTCCTCATTCTGTGGTCTGCTGGCAGTGCAGCCAAGGTTGTCAGACTCCTCCTCGTCCCCCCTTGACAGACAGAGGCCGACCTATGGAGAGAAACGGCCCTCACGTCACTCAGTCCGGGGGGCTTCTCAGGATGTGCGTTTTCCTCCACATCAGTGATGAGACTGGAGGACCTCAGGCCCCCAGCTGCATGAAATACTGGGCAGGTCCAGGCAGGAATGCTCGGAATTAACACTCCCATGGCTGAAAAGCGGGAGTCATTTCCCCATCGATGTTCTGTTCCATTAATTAAGTAACCTAGGTTGAAAGAATATGCAGTTTCCACTAAAATTATAAAGGAAATGTAATTTTAAATAGTTTTCTTTTAAAAAAGTGACCATGTGCATTTAAATTTTTCTGGAGATGGTAGCTATGATGAAGGAGGGCTGACTGAGGTAAGCCCACCCCATGAGGTATGGGTTCCCCCGCAGCCTGATTCTTCTGCTGAGGAGACCAAGGCCCTGGGAGATTAAGGGACTGGCCAGAGGCCCCAGACCACGAAAGGAGAGGCGTCCACGGGGGCTCCAGGGAGGGTCTGTCTGCACCCTGCTTCTTTTTTTTTTTAAGATTTTATTGACTTATTTTTAGAGAGAGGAGAAGGGAAAGAGAGAGGGAAACATCAATGTGTGGTTGCTGCTCATGTGCCCCCTACTGGGTACCTGGCCTGCAACCCAGGCATGTGCCCTGACTGGGAATTGAACCCGCCACCTTTTGGTTCTTAAGCCTGTGCTCAGAACACTGAGCCACAGCAGCCAGGGCTGCAGCCTGCTTCTGATGCCCATGGGTTATCTAGCCTGTGACAAGTCTTTTCTTTTTCACTGGGATATAGACTGCCCAGCCCCCCAGGGTGTAGTGGGATGGATAGACACAGGGGCCGCAGCACTGGGAAAGGGTAATGCCTAGGTCAGGGGAACAGGGTCCCCATGAGAGCCCCGCCACTGGTCCTGGCTGCTCTGAGCCGCAGTCCCCGAGTCCAGAAGATGTAACAATCAGATTAGACAAAGGGGGCATCTCCATTTGGAGATCCCCATAATCAGGTCCCAAGACTAAGGGAACCGGGGCTTTACTTGCCAGCTCTTGCAAGTCATTGGCTGAGAACTGCCAGGGGGTATTCATTCCTGGCACCACTGTCCTGCCTTAGGCAAGGAGATGCCAGTGTTGGCAGCTGGGAGCCAGGCTGATAAGCCCTGAAATAAAAAGGGCTGAGGGCATGGGCAGGGCACCCATAGCACCTGCTAAAGATGCCAACTAGACTTCATTTTGCATGCCCACTTCAACTGAGTATAGAGGGTGTCTGGAACAGGGGGTTCAGAAGGATTCTGAGGTGAGGACTCGGAGTTTAATGATTGATTAGAGATGTCTTGCCATGGGTGAAAGAGTGAACAGTGGTATCACACATAATGACCATTCACTGTTTCTGGACTGACGCATGCCTTTCAATCTCTGGATTTCCTGGCCTCTGATTCTTAAGTGTTTCTTTATTAAAAGACTCTGTAGGAATGTGGAAATGTCCCTTCCTCTGGAATCCTGGCCCAGTGCAGGTATGGCCACATCTGGCTACGCTGGAAGCATCGCATCTCTCCTCTGGCTCAGGGCGCCACCGAGAAGCCTTGTGTGAGGGGCAGCAGGGGGTCCTGGCAAGATGGAGGAGAGGCCCTGCTGCCTCGATCGCAGAACTTCCTGGATTGACTGCCAGGTGGTACCTTGGAGAAGAAACGCTTGGGCTGCGTTGTGCAACCTCCGCCTCCGCCCTGCTGGGCTTCCTTGGCCATGGCTGGGGTCTGCTCGACCTGCACTGGGATAAACTTCTGGCAAGAGCAGAAACTTTGGAGCTGATAGTCCAAATGGTTCCACCACTAGCTGCGTGACCTCCGGGAGATAGGTCCTTCCCGTCTCTGAGCTTCAGCTTCCTCCTCTGCCTCTTTAAAGCCCTTTTCCACTCGTTCCTGAAGACAGGCAGTGCCCCGCCCGACACCCGGCATCTAACATTGCCCGCTTGCTTCTCCCACGCTCCGACTTCTCCCTTCCTCCTCCTAGAAAAGAAGTTTCAAAAACTTAAGAAAAATGCAAAAAAGTAGAAAGAATAACGTAACAAATGTTATGTTACCCACCATTCAGGGTTAACAAATGTTAAAATTTAGTTACTTTTTCTTCAGAGTTTTTTTCTGTTAAGTATAGCAAAATTGAAAGAGCATTTTTTCTTCCCCCCAATTGTATTCCCTTTCCTCCCTCCCCAAAGCCAACCATTCCCTAAACGGGCCACGTATGCTTCCAGTGGCTGGTTTTTACGCACTGCTGCTCTCTAGACACACACACCCCTAGAATCACACCACAGGGGCACCTCAACTGTAGCTGATACCACTGAACTGCTCTTCCTGGTGACCGTGCCGATTTGCACTTCCACTAGCAGTGTGAGTGTTTGTCTCCCAGCCCTGAAGTCGTCAGACTCCCTCACGTCTGCCCGTCCGGTAGGTGTGAAACCTCAGTGCGGCCAGTTTGCACTTCTCTAGTGATTCCTACTGCTACCACCAGTCGCTAACATGTATGGAGTACTTACCTTTGCCACATGCGGCACAACATGCTTTACATTATGTTAACTCATTTAGTCCTCCCAGCCACAGAGCGTGGGGACTATTGCCCAAATCAGTGTGGCTCAGTCAGGCATTGTCCAGCAAAGTGAAAGGTCGTGGGTTCGATTCCCAGTCAGGTCAGGTGCCTAGATCGTGGGTTGGGTTTCCAGTCGGGGCGTGTAAGAGAGGCAACCAATCAATGTCTCTCACATCAATGTTTCTCTCTCTTTTTTCTTCCTCATTTTCCCTCTCTCTAAAAATACAATTTTAGAAAATAAAAAAGAAAAGAAGATGGAGACTCTTGTCATCTCCATTTTACAGATGAGGAAACTGAAGCACAAAGACATTAAATTACCTGCCCAAGGTGCACAGTTGCAAAGTGGCAGAGCCGAGCGGCAAGCCTGGGAGCTTCACACCCTTCCCTCTACCTGTGCCCTCTCCCTGCAAAAGTGTGGTCCTCAGAGTAGCAGCATCTGCACTGTCTGGGAGCTGGTTAGAGGCGGGTCTCGCCCCAAATCTACCAAACAAGACCCTGCGTCTTAACAAGATCCCCAGGAGATCTGAATACACAGTTTGAGAAGCCCTGGTCTACGCCACACTGTTAGGCTGCCCTTTCACTAAAAATATATTGGTCATGTGGATTTCCTACATGGTGCATTGCTTTTTTGCATCTTTCCCACTCTTTCGTGGGCGATTTGTCTTTTTCTTACTGATTCATGAATTTCTTTATGCTGAGTTCAAGTCATTTGTTACATGAGTTATACATCTCTCCCTGTCTATAGCTTGTCACTTACTTAGAGTGACTTCTGCTGGCTCCATCTTTCTAAGTCCATCATTGCCTGGAACCAGGTGGAAGTCTCACTTTGTAAAGCTTTCTTTGACTCTCCTGCTCCCCTGGATTTACCTTTCCCTATATCTCTTATGGCCTGGGATTCCATCTCAGCCCGGCTGTGGCTAGGAGAGACCCTATGGACATGAGATTGGCGAACCCCAGCTTGAGTCAGACAGACCTGGTTTTTATCGACTCTGACAAATAAATTTTGAATTGAAGGGGGTCAATCACTGCCTTTCTAAGCCTCAGTTTTCTCCTCTGAAGAATGGGGATAAGAATACTTACCTCAGAGTTGTCGAGAGGACGAAGTGAGCGCACACATGTGAACGTCTTTTCCAGCCTTTGAGGGTACGATATTGTTTCTGGATGCCTTGGTCTGTCTGCTTTTACAGAGAGATCTAGCTTGAGGGCTGGGACTGCTTCTCACTCCAGGGCCCACCTCTGGGCTGGAGAATGCAAAGTGGACACCACAGTTAGACTGAACCGGGGGCCAGGAGATCTGCTTCCAGACCTGGCTAGAGGTGAGGCCCAGTCCTTGCTTCAGTATTTATCACTCCTTCCCCATGCCTTCCACAACTCTGGGAGCCATGGCTGGTCACCTCTGCCCTCAGAGACTCTGCTTCCTCAACCCCAGAATGAGGATGTTAAACCCTACCCTGCTCTCCTAGACGGATGCCAAAGAACTTATATGTACGACCTATGGACATGAACTAAAGGGGGGAATGTGGGTGGGAGGGATGTGCAGGGTGGAGGGGAATGAAGGGGGGGAAAGGGACAACTGTAATAGCATAATCAATAATTTTTAAAAAATCTTTAGCATTAAACTTCACAGACCATTTCTGACACATTCAATCAGTCACAGCATCTTCTCTATACACTGCACAAATCTTTCTTTTGCGCTTCAGTTGCGTTTTTTTATTTCTTGAAATAGTGCCGAAATAATGTGCCAAAAATGTTGCATATTTTCTTCCGTCTTCAATATTAAAATGGCTACCCCCCAAACTCACCAATTTTGCTAAGTTTTTAAAAAAATGTACACTGATATGACAGCTGTCACAATACAATCTAAAAAACTGTTTCGAATGAAGTTAAAGACAACTAAGTGTTACTAGAGCCATCTTATGGAAAGAAACCAAATGAACTTTTTGGCCAACCTAACTACATAAAGTAAAATGAAAGGAAATAGGATTATTTAAGTCTTGTTTTTGAAAATAAGAACACTGGGAATAGAATTTCCTATTTCAGTGTGGCTGGGTAAATAAGTACTTAATAGATGCTAGAACTTACTACTAGAGAAAAGATATTGCTGGCCTCTCCACTTGCCCCCCTGGTCTACCCTCCACACTGTTGTTCGGTCATTCCAAAACACTGTAACTGTCTTGCTTAAGACCGACCCCTCTATGGCTTACCATCATGCTCAGGATCAAGTTCAACTTCAATAAGGTCTGTTATTATCTAGTGCACCCAGACCCATCTATTGCTATGCTTTAAATGTTCCACCTCAGCCTGCTAGACAATGTGCAGTTCCCCATCTTCTTGCCGCTCCATCTTCAAGCATACTGCTCCCACTACCTGGAATCCTGTTTGGCTTTCCCTTTTCCTCCAAGTTACACTTGAGGGCACTTCCTTCCAGAAGTTAGGGCCCTATGGTGCATCCTCATAGTACTCTGTGCTCATCTAGTCACAGCAATCACCAAGTTAATTAACAGTCTGTCGCCT